AAATTAGTCAGCATAAATCAGTTAAATGACGAAAAATTAGGTGTCTATTTACTTGTGACCACTCAATGTATATCAAGACTCGCTATTGGTTAAGATCACTAGCAAGACCTACAAAATTATATTCAACTATATGCTTACAATCACAAGGTTTCTCCCACGAGAAAATGCATGTGGCACCAAACAGAATGGCACAAGACAGTGTTTATTTAGATCGAGGAAAATTCAGCCATATTTTATAGCTATCTCTTTAGTGCTAAACCGATTTACACTCCCGTACTCGTACGTACAATTTGAAAACACAAGTGAAACAAGAAATGCTAACGTTACTAAAATAAAAGAGAAATAAATACTGAGAACTTTTCATAGTACATGTTTGTTTTTGTATCAGTCCTTAACTGTAAACACTCACCTATCAGAAGCTTGTCCCGTAACTAACACGGCGATCAGAAACCCGGCCATGTAAATGGACTGACTGAGGGAAATTAACCAGTTGTTGTTGCAGGTCAAGCTCCACTATTGTCATGAAAAACAACGTTTTATGACATTATTCAGGTGACAAGAAACGGTGACAAAACGTGATAACATATTTAAGTCTCGAATATTTGAAATTTGTAGTTTGGTTTCGTTTGTTTTGAATTTCGCGCAAAGCTACACGAGGTCTATCTGCGCTAGCCGTCTATAATTTAACAGTAATAGACTAGAGGGAAGACAGCTAGTCAATACCACCCACCGCAAACTCTTGGGTTACTTTTTTTAATAATGACTAGTGGGATTAACCGTTACAATATAAAAACCCCACGGCTGAAAGGGCGAACTTGTTCGGTGAATGGAATTATAACCCGCGACCCTCAGGTTGTGACTCGAGTGCCTTAACCACCAAGCCATGCCAGATCCATAAATAGGGAAGCTTTATGTTTGGAGAAATGTACAGTCAACATCAAATATCAGACAACCTTACCCATAAATAGGGAAGGTTTATGTTTGGAGAAATGTACAATCAACATCAAATATAAGACAATCTTACCCATAAATAGGGAAGGCTTATGTTTGGAGAAATGTACAGTCAACATCAAATATCAGACAACCTTACCCATAAATAGGGAAGGTTTATGTTTGGAGAAATGTACAGTCAACATCAAATATCAGATAATCTTATTTGTCTGAGGGGCAAATAATGATGAAATATACATACGTATGTTAAACTACGAAAGATATATACATCACGTAATCAAATGGGTTTATTAAACAAACTTAAATGCTGAAAACCGGGGTTCAGTTCACTGCGGTGAACAGAGCGGAAATAGCCTATCGTGCAGCTTTTCGCTAAAACGAACAAAACTGTGAAACTCTGTACTTTAAACAGGAGTTTACAAGGAAGATGAATAAAACCATCTATATCGTTATCATGAAATCTTAGGCTTAGCGTAGAATGGAAAAATATATTTCCCATTTGGAAATTGTAATTAAGTGAGAGTTAAAAAAAACAATTGTACAATACTACATACTACTTAAAATAGGGGTTAAAAACTATTTATATTTTGTTACCTCTTCTTGTATTGTAGAAGTGTAGAGAGAATGATCAAACTCAAAATTTGCACAAGGTATAGTTTTGTTGACGTTAATAAAAATGTCTTTCTTTTCGGTCCCATTGAACTTTATGTCATACATTGAACACTTGCTGTACTCTGATCCAACTTTCGGGATCGCTAATAATTTCCATTCCTCGGTCGTCATATTGTCGAACAACGATACGCTGGGTTTCTGACACCAGTAATCCACTTCTGGAGCCAAGAATGGTATAACCAGGTTGTTCCAACAAGATGGTAGTCCACCAAGAATCATCCAGACCAAGAATCTTATTTGCCATGCCCCATATTTTCCAAAGAGATCAGTGACATCCTGAACTTCAGTTTTTTCTGGTGTTTCGTCTTTAAATTTTTTGTCTTTTGTCACTTCCATTTTCTGCTTCTCAAGAGGATGTTTTTAACTAAACAAGAAATTGTAAGTAAAACAATTTAAAGTGATGTAACAGCACTGCTGATAATTGGGAACTGCGTATGTAAGAATTTTCTGTTTATATCTGTTAAACTATGCTTATATCTGTTTATATCTGTTAAACTATGCTTATATCTGTTTATATCTGTTAAACTATGCTTATATCTGTTAAACTATGCTTTTCAAACATGTAACA